CTATCTGTCTATCTATACTAATATTTGTGACTGTCGTTTGTCTGTCTGTTTGTCTGTCTGTTCGGGGTTGGCGGCTACACTAGGTCTGACCCTGGTCTGAAATTTGGGGTATAGGGGTAGCTTGGACCGGGGAGTAACATAGCCCAGGTGACGTTAGTCTACCACTTCCGGTTTCGGGGTTATGACCCCCGAGCGAAGCCGGGCATTCTTCTAGTACCTAATAGTTATAATAGAATTATCACGTTGTTCCTATTTTTGTTTATATAGTTGTCCCTGTTTTTGTTTATATAATAAACCAGATAAAACCACAACCAGCTATATTAGCATACCCATTAGTACTATATCACACTGCTTAATTTATTGGGGGGGGGGGGCTGAATGGTTAGCGTGCGCGCGCTGTTTCATAAAGTCTGTCATTGAGTCGACTGGCGTGGTTTCGAATCCCCGGTTGTACGTGGCAAGGAGTAGGGTCGCCTGTCCAACCTCGTGGGTTTTCTCCGGGGCCTCCGGTTTCCTCCTACTGCTAAAGACCCCTACGCGCAAGCGAATTATGTAAATAAAATTAAACCATATGTTAGTCCCGAAATGACCTAGTTTGTGTCGAGTGGACGTTAAACCCCATCTCTCTCTCTCTCTCTCTCTCTCTCTCTCTCTCAATTTATTGGTATTTATAAACTCGTAAGACCCACCCGACCGAGATCATTTTTTTATAATTAAATGAGAAGAGTTGTTATATTACCGGCGTTTTGGTTGATGGGAGGGATTAGCCAATGAAACGGTCTGTTACGACGAGTTCTTGGTGTGCTGCGGACGAAACTGTTGGTAACCCCCTAAAAACATCAACGCTGATTAATTAATCAATGTCTAACGTTATAAGATCAAAAACCGCTCGTATGAACCCTGACGTGACCTTTCATTACAACCGGTCAAATATTCGTGTAGTAGAGGCCATGGAAAGTATTTTAATCGGATTGTTGATTAACATTCAAATAGGCCTATTTAAAGTAACTAATAGGCCTATTTAAAGTAACTAATAGGCCTATTTAAAGTAACTAATAGGCCTATTTAAAGTAACTAAGTCTCTAATTCAATATCATCCAAAATCTTCGACATTGAAAACACGATTTATTTGTCGGTTTAAATCTACATTGATGTTGTGATCTTACCGAGAAAAGATGGGCTTCTGATATCCAATATTTAAGAGAAAATAAACATTTTACAATTGGTACACGAATCGTGTACCATAATGCGTTTCAGCGCTATTTGTAATAAGGGACTCGAAAACGAGGCTAGGCATATTCCACAAGTCATGTCTAACGGTGACGCTATATTCTTATCTGGAGAGCATGCCCAATAAATACTATCGGCGTAGACTGGAATAACCAGAAGCTAGAGATTAAAATTCGATTGAGAATACTGGCGTATGTCGCCGAACCTAACTGATTAGAAATTACAGTAAAAAAGAAACGATTGAATGTAAGTCAATTTATATACATTCATATTACAGTATTATATGCGTTGCGACCCATTTGTGTCAATTTCTAGGTCCCAAATATTAGCGACTTAGCTCCTTTAAGACTGTGTTTTAGCAGATTAATTGCGTAAGTTTGTGTCTTTTGTGTGAAACGTATAATTGCAATCAGTTGAAAGGAAAATGGAACTCAAAAGTCAAACCAGTTTATAATAAACCAAAAATAATTATATAACATAACTCGACTTCTAGGCTTCGCACTGATTATTTCATGCCTTCTTGGCTTTGCAGTGTTACTCGTAGCGACGTGAAGGCGCGAAGGGGCGAAATTAGGACCATTTGCCTCGGCTTCTTAGCTTCGCCTTCGCACCTGGTAAGCGAGAGGATCTTTATCAGCTTAAATAATTAGCCCAGTCGGAACAGAAAAGCAGGACGTTAAACCACCATGTAAAACAGAGGCTTGCCGAAAACAGCGAGGCTCAAAAAATCTACAAAATGTTTTAATTTTTCGATCATTCAATAGGCTTTAATTTTATTACAGTGACAGTGTCCAATAGACCACGCACTCAAAAAAATATTTTCGGTTCGTTATAAACTTTGAAATTTAATATACAAGCGCTTGTTCTGTATATAATGTCACGCTTGAAGGTACATTATGTAAGATTTAGATAAAGAGCTGACAGTTTTCGCTAAAATAGGTCAAAAATAGATAAATGAAAATGGAATATGTAAAAACTTTTATAATTAAGTCATTGACCACCAATCTTGTTTAAATTCGTTAAAAATCTCGAGCATCCGATGGCATCGAGAGTTGATTATGGTCTTAACAAGTGAATAAATGTCTAATTAATAACTTATATAACATTTAAGGCATACAGAAAGTTGTGTAATCGACAGATTTAGCTCTTGCATAACTCTTCTTTAAATGCGGAGGGCCTGACAAGGACAGCTGTCTAGTCCTTCGGATGAGACGAAAAACCGAGGTCCCGTGTATATATTGGAATGCGCGTAAAAGATCCCTTGGCAGTTGGAATTCGATATAAGAGTAGGCAATAGTGCCGCTGCCCGGGCAAAATTTCCCTCATAGCACACTGTATGGCGTATGCCCGTCTTCATTAGCCCAGCATAGGAGCAGAAGAGTAGGACGTTAAACCCCATTTCATTTCATTTCTTTAAATGCGCCGTGAAAATAAAGTATTTGAAATTATTTTTACCGGTACCTAAAATTAACTGAAAAGGGCATATGCCATACTCCTACACCAGGCTATCTCATCATTATCACAAACGTTCCAACAGGGGCTTAATAATATCATTTTTCTAGAAAATAATCATTGAACGGTGGGTGGGAAAGACATGTATAGCATGGGGACATTTTGCTTGGTAGATTAAACAGGCATTATATGCATGAATTAAATCTGTCTATTGCAGGTCTTTCTTTATGCCTTAAATGTTAAATAAATTATTAATTTGACATTTATTAAAGGGCATTATGGGAGATTAGATAAAGAGTTGACTGTTCTCGCTATAAGAGATAACGTAAATAGAACATGCTGCAAATATCGGTCAAAATGCTCCACTCTGAACCAAAATAATAAATATTAGCTTTTGAATTTTAAGCTAGCCTCGATCATCATTGCTAAAGTCGGTACGATAAAATAAACAAAGTCTCGATTATCCACTTTTACGTTTAATTATTTTTCAAAAATGTATACCAATCCGCTAAATATCGCAGGCTAGTGATGGCATCGAAATATGATTATGATCTGGATAAGTTAATTAATGTCTAATTAATAATTTAGATAACATTTCAGGCCCAAAGAAGGACCTGCAATGGGCAAATTTAGCTCTTGCATAATGTATGTTTAACTTTTCATCATCTATTTTTGAACTATTATGTCGAGAACTGTCAGTTCTTTGTCTAATCTTACATAATGCCCTATAATTCGTGGAGCGTCAGCCAATAAAAGATACACCATGCACGGTCCCAGGTATAAAATAATTCGGAAAATTTTAACTAGATGGAGATTGTTATTCTTAATAAATCTCGTTGTATGGTTTTAATTGCACGTCAACACCAACCGGGAAATATTACGTTAATCCGTGGCTCAGCTGAAACAAGCTATTCTAGGGGAGGTAACTACATTTAATGACTGTCCACATGGACACGTTCGGTCGACCATTGTTTCAGCTATGTTCTCAGTCGGTAGTTATCGGCCGAACTTCACCATGCACCGGATAAACAATACACAGAGTCAAAATGGCCGGTTTTGTTGATTGTAAGTGTCAAATTCATAACATTGATTAATACTGCTTGACCAAAGTCTTAGCTGCAGTTACAACAAATTAGCCCGACTAGACCAACAGAAAGGATCATTACATAACAATGACAAGTTTAAATTACTTCCTTGGCTTGGATTCAGTTGGACGTTGACGTTTACTTTACTTAGTTTACCATCCATGGACGTTTCTAGGGTCCATTACTTGGTTAAAAACTGCTATCATTCATTAGTATCAATACCAAATTCCCCCCCCCCCCCTCCCCCAACCCCACACTTCTTATAGATTAGTTTTCTTCAGCTTCGATAGTGTATATCAGTGATTCTCACCAGTGTGCCGTGAGATCCTCCTAAGTGTGCCGTGAGATCCTCCTAAGTGTGCCGCGAAATTTTGAACGGCACACTACGAAAATGTGAAAAAACACGAGATGCCAATTGAATATCCACTAATAATTTTTTTCCTTCTTTTAGTCTGAATCATTCTAAGTGTCTATGACTAGTCTCTGTCTACAGTTGTATGCCGTCTGACTTACAATATTTTTATTTTGCAAAATTCAGATATTTTTCATATATATTTAGCCAAGCGTGCCACTATTTCTTCATGTGTTCCAAGGTGTGCCGTTGGCAAAAAAGGTTGAGAACCACTGGTTCATATTGTGTAACAGGCATTGACTGTGTAGAGCGAAGCTGATGTGATTGTTCAAATTCAATTGTTAGGCTAAATATTAAACCTTCACAATTAAGTATCTCAAGTGATACAAATAATGTTAAAAAATTTTGTTTTTCCGAATTGATTTTAATTTAAATCTAAATTGTATGATTAATTTTGTTTTAAAAAAAAAAAAAGTGTGAGAATTGTTTTCATTAACGTCAAAAATATGTGACGTCATTGATTAGACACGTCATAGAAATTTCTATGAGATGCGTAATTTCGCTTGGGCGAGATTTGGTAAGTCGGCATACGCGTTTACCAGTTTTGCCCAGTGTATCCGGTTCCGGTCTGAATTTTTTTAAATCGACAGTCTGTGGGTGACAGTTTTAGTTATGCTCCTGTGTTACCGGAAAAGAGCTTTGCTCAAGCACCGCTTAAAGCTTCACTCTATATTACACTGACTAGATAACATTGTTTAGGGTGCTCAGTTGTCATGCCCGTCGTCCTTCACCACTGATAAGGGGATAACGCCCAGATAAATCCCAAAGAATTTTCTTATTCTATATGACATGAATGAACATGGTAAATTAATCTGTTTTGTGTTTTAGCTAGACTGGTCATCAGTAAACTGAGAATGGAGCAGAATCATCTTGTAGCTGTCAAGCATAAGCATCAGATGGAACTGAATTCTGGTTGCTATGGTGTTCAAAATACATTTACAACAGATTTATTGAAATTTATTTATGATCTGTTTGATAAACCTTGTTACAGGTAGGCAAGGCACTGTTTTTTTTATAATGCCATCTGGCCTATATAATGCACCTGCCTACTTCCATCAGTCTGGGGGGTAAAAATTTTACATTTCTTCTATTGATCCACTTGGCAGAATCTAACCAAAGTTCATAGGTATGCTGTTTTTGGTATTTTTTATTCTGATTTGTTCAAATGAAGTTAATCCGTCTCAAAGGGGAAGTGTGACTGATCATTAAAGGGGAAAATATACATTTTGAGAGAGAGAGAGAGAGAGAGAGAGAGAGAGAGACACACACACACACACGCACACACACACTCACCCACACACACACACACAAACTAGGTCATTTCAGAACTAACATATCATTCAATTTTATTTCAATAATTCGCTTGTACGTAAGAGTCTTTAGCAGTGGGAGGAAAACCAATGAGGTTGTACAGGTGACCTACTCCTTGTCACATACAAGTGGGGAATCGAAACCACGCTAGTTGACTCAATGACAGACCTACTTAATGACAGACCTTATGATATAACATGTGCACACGATAACCATGCGGCCACCCAACCAACCTCTGTTTGGTGAACCAGCACATTACTGACAAAGCGCACCATCATATGGTGCCTTTATTACGGTAAATGTATTTTATTTCAATAATTCACTTGCGCGTAGGGGTCTTTAGCAGTGGGAGGAAACCAGAGGACCCGGAGAAAACTGATGAGGTTGGACAGAAGACCCTACTCCTTGTCAGGTATAAGCGGGGTATTGAAAACATGCCATTTGACTCAATGACAGACCTTCTGATCCGACGCACATACGTTAACCATGTGGCCTCCCAACAGTTTGGTGAGCCAGCACATTACTGACATAGTGCACCATCGCATGGTGCCTTTATTACCGTAAATGTATGAATGCACAAATATTTGAATTTATATCATTAGTAGAATTTGTGTATTATATTTCTAATTTCACTGTTTCAGTGATTTGAAGATTGTATTGGAAGGTGGACGTGAAATATTTGCTCATAAATTAATTTTGTTGTCAAGAAGTGATGAGTGGTGTAATACAAATCTACAAAAACTTGATGAATTAGCTCTAACAGGTGGGTTATTTTTATATAATGTATATTATTTTTACTCTCAGGGTTTCCCCTTTGTCACTGGTCTAGGATGGAAAAATGAAATGAAATGGGGTTTAACGTCCTACTGTTCTGCTCCGACTGGGCTAATGAAGACGGGCATACATGTACACCATACAGTGTACTATGAGGTAAATTTTGCTTGGACAGCAATGCTACGGTCTACTCTTATATCGAATTTCAACGGCAAAGCGATCTTTTACGTGCACACCAATGCGTATACAAGACCTCGTTTTTATTCGTCACATCTGAACAACTAGACAGCTGTTTTTGTCAAGCCCTCCTTCATGCACCACTGACAAGGGGAAACGCTGTCCGGCCAAAATTTCCTTCATGTTACACTGTATGGCGTCCTTCGGATGAGACGAAAAACCGAGGTCCCGTGTATACATTGGAATGCACGTAAAAGATCCCATGGCAGTTGGAAATCGATATAAGAGTAGGCGATAGTGCCACTGCCCGGGCAAAATTTCCCTCATAGCACACTGTATGGCGTATGCCCGTCTTCATTAGCCCAGCACAGGAGCAGAACAGTAGGACGTTTAACCCCATTTTATTTCATTTCATTTCATTACACTGTATGGCATAAGCTCATCTTCATTTACCCAATCTGTACAGAAAAGTAAGGTATTATAAACCCCTTTTCATTACTTTAATACTTTACTGTCTTAGCTGGGTTTATTATATTATTTATTTAGATGAGTTAATAATATTATATTATTTATTTAGATGAGTTAATAATATTATATTATTTATTTAGTTGAGTTAATGATATTATATTATTTATTTAGTTGATATTATTATTATTTATTTAGATGAGTTAATAATATTATATTATTTATTTAGATGAGTTAATAATATTATTATTTATTTAGATGAGTTTAGAATATCAGTATTACATTGTTTATTTAGATGAGTTTAGAATATTAAATTTTAGGGTGACGTATGCTATAAGATGGGTTTATAAATAATAATATTATATTGTTTGTTTAGATGTTAAATATGAGGTGGGGTATGTCATGATAAGATGATTTTATGATATTATATTGTATATTTAGATGAGGTGTGCTATTTTTCATAATTGTTTTATTTTAACGAGGTAGTTGTTTCCATAAATCTTACTTGTTTTTAATGTCATTATGTAAGGATAAAAGAAATTCATTATTGGTTTTAAATGTAGGGTCACTAATTGGGACTGATCATCCTTTTTGTCGAAATTTGTTTTTGCTTGATTGTACCAAGACACATGAATTTAACAACTTCGCGAACTTTTGACATGGAACCTAAATCTAAGGCCTTTAAAATCCCGGGGTTCCTGGTTTCGAAATCAGTTGCACATGTAAACACCCAACGAACCAAGTAATACCACATCCGAACAAAGACCAACGCTATAGGTCGATTACAAGCAGGTGAATCCCAGACAGATGTAACCAGGCTGCTGAATGTTTTCCTGAGTACCATTTCTCGCCTTTGAGATAGGTACAGAGAGCGAAGTTCAACACGTGACCACTCAAGCCCAGGCCAAACAAGAGTGACCCCACCTGTCCTGGATTGTCACTTCCGGTTACGTCCTTGACGGAAACGGTTCTCAACAGCAACCTCTACTGCAGCAGCAATTCCCGGACGGCATAGAATCTCAGACCATACAGTCCTTAAACGCCTTCGTGAAACCGAATTACGAGCCAGACGTCCCGTCCTGTTAGAGCTGCTGTTTTAAAATACGCCGACACCTTCAGTGGGTCCAGACACAGGGTATGGCCACAGCAACACTGGAGAGCAGCTTGGTTCAGCGACGTGTCGCGGTTCCTGTTGCGATGATAGAGTGAGGGTATACTGACGGCGAAAAGTCACATTGCATTTCTTTTTTTTGAATAGTATATTATATTGTTTATTTAGATGTTAAATATGAGGTAGGGTATAAATATAATATTATATTATTTATTTAGATGTTAAATCTGAAGTAGGGTATGCTATGATCCGATGGATTTATACAGATGAAGTTGAAGTAAATAATGGAGAAGATTTTATGATAGAGTTATTACAAGCTGCAATAAAATATAAACTAATGCTTCTAAGTAATAGGTAAGTTACGAACTCCGATAGTAAATTCGCTAATGGGCAAACCCCGGTTACCCCACTAATTTGTGATCCGGTGACCCAACAAATTTAAGGAATGGTATAAGCTAAACTAGTCCTGATACTCAGAATAACTAGTTTCGATTACCTTGTAAAATACTTATGAAGCTAACAAGCATCCAAAAAACAATTACCTTACCTTAACCTGTTTATTTGTTTCAAAAGCTCAAGTGGATGTTGATTTATTTACTATTTTAAATTAAAATTTTGGCTTACTTTGTTGACACAAAATTTGATTATATCTCAGCTTTATCAATAGTTGGGGAGGTTGGATGGCCGAATAGTTAGCACATGCGCGTTGTATCATAAGATATGTCATTGAGTCAACTGGCGTGGTTTCGATTCCCCGGTTGTTTGTGACAAGGAGTAGGGTCGCCTGTCCAACCACGTAGGTTTTCTCTGGGTCATCTTGGTTCCTCCAACTGCTCAAGACCCCCTACGTGCAAGCGAATTAATGAAATAAAGTTTAACCATATGTTAGTCCCAAAATTACCAAGTTTGTGTCGAGTGGACGTTAAGCCCCATTTCTCACTCTCTCTTTCTCCAGGTCATCCGGTTTCCTCCCACTGCTAAAGACCCCCTACATGCAAGCGAATTATTGAAATAAAATTGAACCATGTGTTAGTCCTGGAATGACCTAGTTTGTGTCGAGTGGACATTAAACCCCATGTCGCTGTCTTTCTTTTGACACAATATCTGATTATTTGTCAGCTTTTAAGACATTGTCATATTTACCTTAAATTCACATCAATATTTATTACATTATTCTATTTATATATTTGTAACAGGTTACAGAAAGACTTGATGTCCATGATTAATGTTGAGAATTGTGACAGGATTTACCAGACAGCTCAGGCATTATCAGTTAATGTGTTAATAGATTACTGTAAAGAATTTCAGGTATGTGAAAAGCTCACTAAAAATTCTTTTATTATTAATATGTTTTTAGATGAAAATGGATACGATTGTGTTCAGGTATCATGCACAAATTGGTGTTCAGGTATCATGTGCACATTTGTGTTCAGGTATCATGCACACGTTGGTGTTCAGGTATCATGTACACGTTGGTGTTCAGGTATCGTGTACACGTTGGTGTTTGGGTATCGTGTACACATTGGCATTCAGGTGTCATGTACACATTGGCATTCAGGTGTCATGTCATGCATTCAGGTATCGTGTATACGTTGGTGTTCAGGTATCGTGTACACACTGGTGTTGAGGTGTCGTGTAAACGGTGGTGTTGAGGTATCGTGTACACGCTGGTGTTGAGGTGTCGTGTGAGGTATCATGTACACGTTGGTATTGAGGTATCATGTACACGTTGGTGTTCAGGTATTAAGTACACATTGGTGTTCAGGTATTGTGTACACATTGGTGTTCAGGTATCTTGTACCAGTTGGTGTTCAGGTGTCATGTACACCTTGGCATTCAGGTATAGTGTACACGTTGGTGTTTAGGTATTGTGCAAATGTTGGTGTTCAGGTATTGTGCACATGTTGGTGTTCAGGTATCATGTACACGTTGGCATACAGTTTTGGTATGTTCATCTCCAAGTGGGGTTTAATATATACCGTACACAAATATGTATTAGTTGATGAAGATTATTATTAAAAGGACAATAACACTCTTGCTGGCTTGACAGCTTCAGAAAATAAAAAAATAGCCTTATTCTAAGTACTAGATGTTTAAGTGTCCTACCGTTGTGTAAATTATCCATTACATCCTATTTTACTTGTCCAGAGGGTTCGAAAATATTTTTAAATCCAAGTCACATTTGAAAAGGTTTACGTTAGGCTTTTCAAATCATTTAGTTGAATTTTTCCAATTTTTTAAATTAGGTGTCAGGCTTTTCAAATCATTTAGTTGAATTTTTCCAATTTTTTAAATTAGGTGTGTTAAGATGAAATTTGTATCATCAATTAATTGGAATACTGTAAAATAGTACAATTTGTTGACCAGAATAAAGATTGGGGCATATTATTCTGTTACAACGAGAGTGGTATTGAGCCTTTAAATAATAACAATACTTTAAACCAAATTCGATTCTACTTCTATTCACTGATAATATATCAGGTGTGGGAACACAGCTAAGTCAGGATCTTAATCTCTGTCCTGAATGGCTGCCATATCCAAAACTTAGTATATTATTTTGTATTGCAGTTCTACTCTGTTTCAAAACTGGACAACACACAAAAACTAAATAAACTTATTTAATTCCATTAAATGGAAGCAGAATAAATAATTCTCAAAATTTTCAACTAAAATCTTCGATTTATGACTTAAAATGTCGGTCAACTAGCTTAGTGTCTGTTCTCAAGCGGAGCTAACTGTAAACAGAAATATCAGTTCAGTATGGTAAAACCCCATTTCATTTCATCTTAACAATTTGGAACATAGTGTTTTCGACTAAAATCGTTGATTTTGGACTTAAAATGTTGGTCAACTAGCTTAATGTCTCTTCTTAAACAGAGCTAACTGTAGACAGGCAGACAGGCAGGAAGGCCAAGTTTAGTATGGATCTTAAAGGAGCTAAATCGCTAATATTTGGGACCTAGAAATTGACACAAATGGGTTGCAATGCATATAATAATGTAATGTGAATGTATATAAACTGATTTACATTCAACCGTTTCTGTTTTTACTGTAATTTCTATTCAGTTATGTTTGGCAAAATACGCCAGAAGTCTCAATTGAATGGCAATCTTTAGCGTCTGGTTATTCCAGTCTACACCGATGATATTTATTGCGCATGCTCTCCAGATAAGAATATAGCGTCACCATTTGACATGATTTGTGGAATATGTCTAGCCGCATTCTTTTAGTCCCTTGTTCCAAATGGCGCTGAAACGCATTATGGTACACGATTCATGTACCAATTGTAAAATGTTTATTTTGTCTTGAATATTGGATATCAGAAGCCCATCTTTTCCCTGTAAGATCACAAGACCAATCTTGATTTGAATTGACAAATGATTCGTGTTTTCATTGTCGAAGATTTTTGATGATATTGAGTTAGAGACTTTGCTACTTAATACATATATTGTTATGATTATTCTGTTTTCTTTTGTTTAGAGTGGTAGTGATGATAGTTATCAGACAACAGAAACTGAAGGTATAATCCAATCAGATAAAAATGATGGTGATGATGATGATGATGGTGATGGTGATGGTGGTGGTGATGATGGTGGTGATGATACATATATCTCAGATACCAACAACATTTCAACTGAACTCATAGAATCAAACAAGCCAAACGTTATACAGAAGAGAAAGAAAAAAAATGTTAGAAATCTCTCCCCTGCTGTCATCGGATCTGACGAATCCAAGTTTAGTAGTCCATTCATCGAATCCAAGACTCAGATATCTGTACTAAAACATCGCACGTCACAAAAAAAGCGTAAATCATCGAGCAATAAACTGAACAGAATTAAAAATAAACAAAAAAAAACGAAGCATGATAAGACGCTCGTCGTCGACGTAAATACTGACTCTAAATCTCATGGTTGTGATATGTGTGGGAAGAGTTTTATTAACAATAGTAACCTAACTAACCATAGACGAGTCCACACGGGTGAAAAACCCTATAGATGTGATGTATGTGGTAAATCATTTAGTGAGAAGGGAAATTTACAGAAACATATTAAAATACATACAGGGGAAAAACCCTATACTTGTGAAGTCTGTGGTACATCGTTTAATACAAGTCGTAGTCTACAGCGACATTTCATGACCCACATGGGCGAGAAACCGTATAAATGTGATGTTTGTGGTAAATCATTTAATACGAGTAGTTACGTTGAGGTACATAAACGAATTCATACCGGCGAGAAACCCTTCATTTGTGACATCTGTGGAAAGTCTTTCACAGAAAGTTGTAATTTACAGGCCCATATAAGGATACATTTGGGGGCCAAAAATTACATATGTGATGTTTGCGGGAAGGCGTTTACACAGAGTACGTATGTTAAAATACATAAACGTATTCATACAGGGGAAAAACCTTACAACTGCTCTTATTGTCTTAAATTATTTAGAACAAGTAGTGCCATGCAGACTCATGTTAAGACACATACAGGTCAAAAACCTTATAAGTGTGATGTTTGTAGTAAATCATTTAGAGAAAATAGTACTTTACGAAAACATGTAAAAACACATATGTAGCCATTTGTGTTTATATCAAATTTGACAGATGTATGTAGCAATTTGTATTAATTAGATTTTATAGACTACATATAGGGAACAATTTGTATTAATATTAAACATGCATTATGCAAGAGCTAAATCTGCCTATTCCGGGTCTTTCTTCAGGCCTGAAATCTTATCTAAATTATTAATTAGACATTAATTAACCGATCCAGACCATAATCAACTCTCGATGTCATTGTTAGCCAGTGATGTTTAGTGGATTTGAATACAGTTTGTGATGGATAATTTAACATAAAATGGATAATTGATTGGTTTATTATCACACCAAAGTTGGTAATGATGTTGGAGGCTAGACTAAAATTGAATCGCTAATATCTTTGTTCAGAGTGAAGCAATTTGACAGAATCTCTTTATCTAATCTGGGGTAACGGTGGCTAAGTGGGTAAGATGCTGGCTCCCTAGTCTGAAGGTTGAGCGTTCGATCCCTGGCGTGGTTTCCCCTTGTCATTGATGCAGGACGGAGGGCCTGACAAGGACAGCTGTCTAGTCATTCGGATGGAATGAAAAACAAAGACCCTGTGTACATATGGGTGTGCATGTAAAAGATCCCTGTCCGGGCAAAATTTCCCTCATAGCACACTGTATGACGCATGTCCGTCTTAACTAGCTCAGTCGGAGCAGAACAGTAGGACGTTAAACCCCATTTCATTTCATTTCTTTATCTAATCTTACCTAATGCCCCTTTAAATTAGACTTTTCAGAATAGATATAAATCTGGAACAAATTGTATTTGTATTGAATTAAATTACACATTTCATTTCTTTATCTAATCTTACCTAATGCCCCTTTAAATTAGACTTTTCAGAATAAATATAAATATGGAACAAATTGTATTTGTATTGAATTAAATTACACCTTTTAAGTATACTTTATAAGTATATTAAGTATAAAATATAATTGTATTAAATTAGAATTTTTAAGATAGATGAACAATTAGTTTTGTATTTATTAAATTATAATTTATAGGGGAGATATATATATTTGTAACAAATTGCATTTATATTAAATTAGACTTTATAGGGGACATATATATATATATATATATATGTGGAACAAACTGCATTTACATTTATATTGAATTAGACTTTATAGGGGACATATATATATTTAACAAATTGCATTTATATTAAATTAGACTTTATAGGGGACATATGGAACAAATTGCATTTACATGTATATTAAATTAGACTTTATTGGATTGGTAGATATATGTGGAACAATTTTTATTTCATTTATGCAGCAATTTATATTAAATTAGACTTTCAAAGGTAGATTATGTAACACTTTTTATTGTCAGCCGTAAATTTATATTAAATTAGACTTTCAAAGGTAGATTATGTAACACTTTTTATTGTCAGCCGTAAATTTGAATATAAATTGACACAAACCTCAAATTACTATTTTAGCCACCATGTATATTAATCTTTTTATATGGCACTGAGCCACCGGTAAACACATTAACAGAACACAGATTTTATGGGATACAATCACTAGTTTTATTCTAAAAGCACGATGTTTCGACAAGTATCCTCTGATGTTATCAAGCACAATTGATAACGATAAGAGGATACTTGTCGAAACGTCTGCTTATAGAATAAAACTAATGATTGTATCCCGTAAAAACTGTGTTCTGTACCATGTATATACAGTAGAATCTGCATTAAGCAGCCACCCAAGGGAATTTTCACAACTGACCGCTTAACGGGAGTGGCCTCTTAATAAAATCTCGTTGCTTTTTGTGCCGACATAAATTAAATATTACGCTTGGATGCATTGGAAGCGGTAAATTTGGCCGTCGCTGAATCTTGCGCCGAACGAAAATTCTTTACTCAAATCTCGGACATAACTTAACGGGAGTGGCCTCTTAATAAAATCTCGTTGCTTTTTGTGCCGACATAAATTAAATATTACGCTTGGATGCATTGGAAGCGGTAAATTTGGCCGTCGCTGAATCTTGCGCCAGACGAAAATTCTTTACTCAAATCTCGGACATAACTTCTGTAAACTTGTCATTTTGTACCAACCTTCGATACTACTGTCTACCATTGTGATGCATTCGATAATATTTATCCATTTTTGTGAAGAAAATCGATGAATTCATTTTATTTTATCAAAAAAGCACATGAACAAAAAACATCTCTAATTTTATCTCCTATTTACAGGGGGTGTAACTCTGTATGTAATATTATAGGAGGCGCTAAGAGAGATACTAGATGATCGTGACAAAAAAATCGGTACTTTTATTTTATTCAATCAGTATCAAATAATGTGTCGTTACGCGTGAAAACAATGATCAGGTTAGTCGTTTAATAAAACAAAAGATTAATTAACAGATAATCCCGGGTTGATTGTTATGTTTACATTTCTTTTTACCTGATCAGTGGGGTCCAGTTAATTAACTACTACTCACGGGATTAGCGGGGGTGTTACAAAGAACGACAAGATGGTATCATTCAACAATGGCCGTTGAATGGGCGATGTTTTGTTGAATTTATTAGTAAAATAGTGACCGCTGGCCGCGTTAGAGGAGTGGCCGTTGAATAAAGAGATGAAACAACAGAATACAATTGTAAGTGGTAGAATGGAGATAACCAGGTCTTCAAAAATATACCTTTAAATGTTTGTGAGAGCTCTTGCACGTAGGGGTCTTTAGTAGTGGGAGGAAACCAGAGAACCCGGAGAAAACCAACGAGGTTTGACAGGTGACCCTACTCCTTGACACTTACAACCGGGGAATCAAAACCCCCCGCCAGTTGACTAAATGACAGACCGTATGATACAGCGCGCACATGCTAACCATTCAGCCATCCAACCCCCCTTTTAAATGTTTGTATACCTATTCATACATGTATGTATAGGGAGCCACGGTGGCTGAGTGAGTTAGACACTGACTCACTAGCCTGGAGATCACGGGTTTCCCGGTGTTAACAGGGATTTTTCAGCATGGTTTCTCCTTGTCAGTGGTGCAGAACAGAAGGCCTGACAAGGAGAGCTGTCTAGTCTTTCGGAAGGGATGAAAAACCGAGGTCCTGTGTAATTCAAAATAAGAATAGTGTGTGGTAGCAGCGACGGATTAAGGCTTTGCTGTGACTTAAAGAGGGTCACATGAATAATTTTAAAAAAGTCATCCGATTGTCTACCTAGCGAAATATAGTGAGTATTGCCACTGGATGACAGAATCTAGAGTAGTGAAATTTGATCCCAATTATATAATTCCAACCCTTTTCTCACCTTGTTATTATTATACTGAAAGAGAATCAGACGAGTTATTTGCCCCTGAGTTAGAAATCGGAATCAGACGAGATTATCAAACGAACATGGACGTGAGAGAGAGAAATGGGGTTTAACGTCCACTCGACACGAATTGGGTCATTTCGGGATAATATATGGTTTAATTTTATTTCAATAATTCGCTTGCACGTAGGGATCTTTAGCAGTGGGAGGAAACCAGAGGACCCGGAGAAAACCCACGAGGTTGGACAGGCGACCCTACTCCTTGTCATGGACATAACAGACTTCAGACATTATACTTAGTCATAGCTTGATGTTAAATTTTTGAAAAATTTTCCACGTTACAGGCGCCTGTGGTTAGAACTTGGGTGTGTGGCCGTCTGTGAACACTGGTGCTGTAGTCGCCTTTTTGTATGCCAAAAAGTAATATCCTGGTCATTGTAGTGAGCATAATACTGGGTTTTATTCTGTTGACCCAGGACCCTCGAACCAGCTGGAAAGAGAGTGGCAACTAGCCCACCGTGCACGCAAGAATGGGACTCAAACTGCAAGGATTCCTCAGGAGACCAGGGTTTAATTGCCCGCTTTGGAGGCATTTTTACTTGACTACCCTGTGACGGTGAGGAAAAACAAATTATTCCGATACCGGGAGTCAAACCTAGACGACACGAGTACTGAACGAAGTAACTCAAAACATGCCAGCCTTCAACCATAATAATATTAATCTACAATTTAAACCATTGGGTCAGTTCAAGACCCTCTGTATTTGAAATCAATGATTTGATGTCTTTGGTGTCGAGGTTGTGGGATATATTTATACAACATGAACACTAGTGTCGTATCTGCTGATACCCAAACACTAACTTATACTGGGCCTCTCAGTTTGTCTATATTTTCAATATCAATTTCCTGATTTAAGAAAACAAATTTACATGAAAAAATAATCAGGCAAGGAGCTTTGTTATTATCTTGTTAAAGATAGATAACTCTAACACCAACCTTAGGAGTTAAAAAAATCTCAGTTCAAATCATTTATATCAACACTGATAAATTGTTTCAATGGCATTTAGTAATTGAACTGGAGTATACAGGTCACAATGCTATGGAATACAATTACTGCTTACTGAGCGACTAGTCGAAACGTCGTTCAGTAATAGGCACTGGTGTGAAACAGTAGACGACATAAAGGAATTTTTTTAAGACTTTATGTTTTAGTTTTCAGGCTTAAAATGATGTTTTAAGCTATAAATGGCCAAAACATAAAAGCAAAAAAATCGTTGACCTACTGATTTACGAGAAATTCCAGAAAGGAAATTTAGACTAAATGATGAAGTGTCTATTGAATGTTATACATAGAGACAGACAGCCCATGCATATAGGATTGCAAGAAGTACTTGTACACATGAAGATGCTGCTTTTTTTTTTGATATTTCGGACAGATTCATAGAATTGAATTTGCCAACGTTTGATATGGCCGATAGCAGAAATATGTTTTCAGTATTATACATTGACAGTATAGTTGTTAAAATACAACAACCGTCTCATGCTGGAGATGTTTTCTTTTTTAGCCAAAGTAGTAAATCGTGTAATATCCTGAATGTTCAATATATTGTGGACCCGAGTGGAGTGGTGAGACACATCTTAAAGTAGGTAAGTCTCGAACTCAATATCATCCAAAATCTTCAACATTGAAAACACAAATTAATTGTCAATTTAAATCAACATTGATGCCGTGATCTTACCGGAAAAAGATGGGCTTCTGATATTCAATATTTAAGACAAAATAAACATTTTACCATTCGTGTACCATAATGCGTTTCAGCCCCAGTTATAGCAAGAGACCCGAGGAACGAGGCTAGACATATTGCACCAAACCAAACGGCGTATATAGACTGGAATAGCCAGGCGCTAGAAATTTGCATTAGATTGACACTGCTGGCTTATTTCGCGGAACATAACTGATTTGAAATTAGAGTAAAAACGGAAACCATAGAATGTATATCAGTTTATATACATTCATATTACAGTATTATATGAGTTGCGACCCACTTGAGTCAATGTCTAGGTCCCAAATGTTAGCGATCTAGCTCCTTTAAGTAGTAGCCAAGACGCTGCACATGACAAAACCGCAGCCGAGTGGTCTGTTCAGTATTTTTAAAGTAATAACGTAGAATTGGGAGATGCAGCTTATAGAGGATTTCATGGCTAACCTATATTCATCAACCTTAATGGTTAGGGTCTGTACTCAATTCAAAATCTTGTAAAGCTTCTAATTGTTCTCATCTGCAACATGATAGTAATCAGAAAAGAATTGAATGCGTTAAGACAAAAGGCGAAATATTTAAAAATGTTTTTTGTTTTGTTTATTTTCCAACTGTAAACACTGGTATTTAACTAGTTAGTGTATACACTGGTGTAAACACTATAAGTACTATATTTAGAGGCTCAGGTTAAGGCATAAAAAAGAACACCAGTTATACACCACAACACTTGAATTGGCCCATTGTCCTGGTATTCATAATCCATATATTTAGCTGCTCATGCGCTTGAAAACATGTATTTTAAACCAACCCTTAGCGTGTCCGGGTGTAATATTAAGTAGTATATCTAATAAACTGAAGATTATTTTACACGCATCTTGACCTCTAAATGTCTTTACGTCAATAAAAATATGTTTTAACTTTGACCTTGCTATGGTAAAAATACTGATTGTTTCTTTTCAGAAATGAAATGAAATGGGGTTTAGCGTCCTACTGTTTTGCACAGACTGGGCCAATAAAGACGGGCATAGACTGGGTCAATAAAGACGGGCATAGACTGGGTCAATAAAGACGGGTGTACACCAGTGTGCCATGAGGTAAATTGTGCCCTGACACTGGCGGTACCCCCTACTCTTACTTTGAATTCCACATTCCAAGGGCTCTTTTACGCGCATGCCACGTATTGAATAGCTTTTGTCAACTTTGATGCATATTCCTGAAGCAATGGCCCGAGAAATCCCTCTCTGGCCATTGCTGGATTAGCTTCTGATAATTGCGCT